GACCAAAAAAAAAAAAAAAAAAAAAAGGCTGGGCACTATTGTCTCACCCCTGTAATCCTAGCTACTCAGGAGGCTGAGATTTGAGAGTCATGGTTCAAAGCCAGCCATGGCAGGAAAGTCCATGAGACTCTTATCTCCAATAAACCACTAGAAAACCGGAAGTGGCACTGTGGCTCATGCGGTAGAGCACTCGCCTTGAGTTGAAGAGTGCACGGACAGTGTCCAAGCCCAGAGTTCAAGCCTCACGACCGACAAAAAATAAATAAATAAAAAATAAATTAAAAGAGGAAATAAAGAAGAAAAACCCCAAGATGATAAATAACATTTACACTCTATTTTGCCTTTCTCTTTGCTTTAATAAAAGGAAATATCAAGACTGAAAGATGTTCATGCAACTATCACCTGGACAGAGTACTTGCAGAGAAGACGAGAGAAGAGAAAACACAAGGAACACATCCTAATGGGGAGAAAGAAAAACTAGATGTGAGGGAAAACTCAGAGGGGCTCTTTTATTTTTTTGTCTTTCCAGGTGGGTAGCTATGGTGTAAGTGTCGGATTTACAGCATTTCAAATTAATGCTGAGGGCTGGGAAGGTGGCTGAGTGGTAGAGTGCTTGCCTCGCATACATGAGGTCTTGGGTTTGATTCCTCAGCACCTCATAAGCAGAAAAAGTCAGAAGTGGCGCTGTGGCTCAAGTGGTAGAGCGGTAGCCTTGAGCTGAAGAGCTCAGGGATAGTGCCCAGGCCCAGATTTCAGGCCCCACAACTGACAAAACAAATTAATGCTCAGAATACAGACATTAGCAGTGAACATAAATATTACAAACAAACCCTGTTTAGCATGAGAGAAAAGTATAGATATACACATTACTGAGAAGAAGAAAAAAGAACACTATGACTCAGGAAAGAGGATTACAAGAACCAATACAGGCCCAATAGTAAGATGCTATGAGCTTTTTTTTTGTTTGTTTTGTTTTTGGGTCCGGTTGTGGGTCCTGAACTCTGGGCCTGGGCGCTGTCCCTCAGCTCTTCAGCTCAAGGCTAGCGCTCTACCACTTGAGCCACAGAACCACTTCCAGCTTTTTTCTTTTTGCTTATGTGGTGCTGAGGAATCGAACCCAGGGCCTCAGGCATGCAAGGCAAGAGCTCTACCACTGAGCCACCTTCCCAGCCCAAGATGCTATGATCTTAGCAAACTATACATTATCAACTTTATTTATTTTTATTTGTGCCACTGCTTGGGCTTGAACTCCAGACCTGGGCTCTATCTCTTAGTTTTTCTGCTCGAGGCTGGCACTCAATCACTTGAGCCACAGCTTCCAGTTTCTTGGTGGTAAACAGGAGGTAAATCTCATAGACTTTTCTGCCTGGGTTGCCTTCAAATCATGATCCTCAGATCTCCGCCTCCTCAGTAACTAGGATTACAGAAGTGAGCTACTGGTGCCCAGCTTCAATTTTTTTTTCTTTTTTTTTTGGAGGCCAGTCTGAGCTATATTGCCCAGACTGGTCTTGAACAAATGGGTTCAGGTGATCTTACCCCCTCAGGCTCTTGTACAGCTAGGTAAAAGCTCAAGTCACCACATCCAGGTCATTATGTCCATTGATTCCACCATAAACTATGTGAATCCTCCTAAGAGATATGAAAAACTTGAGGAGGTTCTTTTGTTGTTGAAAATTACCTTGTACAACATCGTTCTATGTCAGGGAACTTTTCTGGCCATGGAGAGAAATAGGTGAATTCTGTGTCTTTATCATACCAACACATTAGACATTCACTATGTTGGTTTCTTTTTCTCTCTTCCTTCTTGAGGGAGTGGTTACATGCTTCCATAGCTTCCAATAATCGCTTCTGAATATGAATGAAGAATTAAAAGTACAAAAATTTTGTAATCTCAACATACAGCATAACTACATTCCTTTCACATACACATTCTCTACTCCTGTAGAGATTCTTAAGAAATCTTAACTACTAAACCTCTTTCATTTGATCGCGTGAAAAAGTGGTATGTTCTTTTCTGTTTCTAAAGCTCTTGGAGTTCTGCTGCCTGTGCACATTTCTCTGAAGCAATTATTCCAGCAGCAGCCACGACTGTGCAGACACACAGCAGAGATAAAACTTTAAAAGGAAGCCAAACCCTGGTGGCTCACGCCTGTCATCCTAGCTAGTCAGGAGGCTGAGATCTGAGAGGATCATGGCTCAAAGCCACCCTGAGCAGGAAAAGTACGTGACACTCATCTCCCATTAATGACAAAAAGCCAGAAGTGGAACTGTGGTTCAGTGATAGAGCCCTAGCCTTGAGCACTAAAGTTCAGGGACAGCACCCAGTCCCGGGAGTTCAAGCTCTGGGACTGGCAAAAACAAAAACAAATGTATAACAAATCCATCATAATTATAATCAGCATTAATCACTTATATTACAAATTCTGCAGTAGTAGAGCAATGTCTATCTTTTCAAATCTACTTATACATTTAACATAATTACAATCAGAATTTCAATTATATATATATATAATTTATTTATTAAAAAATATTTTTGCCAGTCATGGAGCCTGAACTCTGGGCCTGGGCACTATCCCTCAGCTCTTCAGCTCAAGGTTAGTGCTCTACCACTTGAGCCACAACGCCACTTCTGGCTTTTTCTGCTTATGTGGTGCTGAGGAATCGAACCCAGGGCCTCATGCATGCGAGGCAAGCACTCTACCACTGAGCCATCTTCCCAGCCCTTTATAAGATATATTAAGTGTTAAATACATTAAATACATATATACATTTAAAGAGAACAAAATAATGTCAGTGTTCATATGGAATAATGTGTGAAGAGTAAAATGGAAATTTGGGACTATCAAATTTGATAGTCTATACTATTATAGTCTATCCTATTGTTTTTTTTCCCCTGTAGAGATACTAGGGCTTGATTCTTGCACTGAGCCCCTCCCTTTTTTTTTTTTCTGCTCAAGGCTGGCACTCTACCACTTAAGCCAGAGCTCTACTTCTGGCTTTTTGGTGGTTAGAGAAAAGAGCTTCAGGAGGCTGAGATTTGGAAATTTGCAATTTGATGCCAATATAGGTAAGAAGTTTATAAAAACTCCTCCTCAACCATTCCACCTATGTGGGATGCTGAGATCAGAAGGAACATGGTTTCAGGTTAGCCAAGGCAAAGTAGTTCGTAAGATTCCATTTCAAATGAAGAAGATGGGTGCTGTAACACATGCCTATCATCTCAGCTGTATCAGGAAGCAATAAATTGGAGGATTGAGGTCTAGATGCAGGACCAGGTCAAAAAGAGACTCTTACCTCAAAATAACCAATGCAGAAAGGGCTAGAAGTGGTGTTCAGTGGTAGTGCACTACCAAGCATAGGCCTCAAGTTCAAATTCCAGAACCAAGCTAGCAAACAAGCAAGCAAATAAGCAAGCACTGACCTCATCAATAAAAGGTATTAAAACCACAGCTTCCCATTCCTGTTGTTTTCCATTTAGATCAGTTTTAAAATCAGGTGGGTAATATTCTATAATTGGTGAGTCTTCGCTGGTCATCAAGTGCTGTGAAAACAAACAGAATTGAAATATAAGAATATTAATGTAGTATTTTTATTAATTTGTAAATTATGTTTTTCTCATTTAAAATTCTAAGAAAACTAAATTTTTCTATGTTAGATATATTGTAATATACTTGTTATAGTTAGATTTCCAACTAAAAGAATATTTTTTCCCTTTGTTATCTTGAGACAGGGTCCTTTCTATGTAGCTCAAATTTTCAGTCTTTAAATGTGTAGACAGAGATGGCTTCTGACTTGACCTATTTAGCTTACTTTCTTCCACGTACAGACAGGTTAAAGATATGCTTACAACTAGGTGCTGGTGGCTCACACTTGTAATCCTAGCTACTCAGGGGGCTGAGATGAGGATCCTGGTTCAAAGTCAGCCCAGGCAGGAAGGTCTGTGAGACTTTTATCTCTAATAAACCACCAGAAAACTGGAAGTGGTGCTGTGGCTCAAGCGGAAGAGTGCCAGCCTTGAGCTAAAGAGCTCAGAGAAAGAACCCAGGCCCAGAGTTCTAGCCCCATGACTGACCAGAAACAAAAGCATATGCTTAAAGGTGCTAAAAAATGAACATGGGAGGCTCTCAATGGTTTATGGCGTTTATTTGCCAACTAAAAAAAAAAACACCAAAAAAACAGGAAACTACTTTTCAAGGGACTTGTTAAAGAAGTCCCTTAAATCTGGGTACTACTGTTTGTAGGTTTGGACCGGAACTCTTTATATCAAAAGGAGCATGAAAACTCAATTGTAAAACCCACCTGGTAGCATGAAGGAAGTAGACTTTTGCTGGCTGCTGGAAGTACAGCAAGCAGCTGCTCAAATGGCTTGAATGGTTTTCCCAGTTCAAAGTGGATTTTGAGTGCACTGATGTTGCGGATATCAGATAGAAAAGGTGCATAATGGTATGGATAAAACCTGTAAAACAAAAGGAGCACTAAACAACTAGAGACCCTATTCTCGAACAATACATAAAATTAATTTTAAAGAAAAATCAATTATTTCCCATAATTGTACCTTTTGAATGTAATGTATTATAAGTGCAGGAAGATTTAGGTACTGTGATGGCAACTAGTACTCCTCAATTGTTTTTGGTGTGCTTGTAGTGGGTTAGATGGGATCTTGCTGGCTATGGCCACAGCCCAGGCCAGCCTCCAAATCATGACCCTCCTCCTGCCTCTGGCTCTGGCTCTGGAGCAAGGGGCTGGAGGCGTACACCAACATGTCTGGCTAGGCATGCACCAACATGTCTGGCTTTGTAATGGTTCTTTAAATTCCCAAAATGTTGGGATTTAAGAGACTTAGCTCTAGTGGTAGGATACTTGCCTAATACTCCCAAAGCCCAGAGTTCAAAATTTCATTACCTCCCCCCAAACAAACAAACATCCCCAAATGCTGACTGTGGCTCTTCCAATCAATGGAGTGGATAGTGATGAGCAGTCAGGAGAGTTTCTACCTGTCCTCTGGACCAGAAGCTCTAAGAAGGGGCTGGGAGCAGCTGAGTCTTGTGGTATAAGCTCTAATTAGCTCACAAGGACAGCTTTGAAGAAAGCACCCCAGCACTAGGCACCCATTACCAGTCTGCTTTTACTTAAGACCCTTTACCATTGACTTACTGTGCATGTTATTGTAGTTACATTAAATGTTAGATCATGCTAAATTTTCTTTAGTATACACTCATCTTTATAGGCATTAATATTTTTTTTTACAAACATTTGAATCCACAATTCATATACTTTAATAGGGCTCTAGGTATCTGAACAGAGGATACCAAAAAATTAAACCAAACAAACAAAAACCCTGATTTATATTATGTAACTACGGCATTCGTCTCAAGTTGTACTTAGAGTGCTAGCCATGAGCTAAAGCAGCTTAGGGACAGGGATAGCACCCAGGCCCTGAGTTCAGGCCCCAGGACCAGCACAGAAAAAAGAAACAAAAAATTACAAGAAGCAACTACTTGGATTTCTGGTATCACTTGGATGAGAGGGAACAAAAGGAAGAGACACCTAAATGAGCTTCCAGCAGAGGAGATCAGTATAAACAGAGCTGCCCTTACCAGCTCCATGACTGAACTCCATGGTAGTAGTAGTGCAAAATCCACTGGATTGCCTGAACATAGCATGCAGCTTGGGCAGCCAGAAAGTCACTACACAGAAAGAAAGGAGCATTTGATTAGGCCAATGTCTTCAGAACAGCTGCTGACACCACATTTTACCTTTATATACGCTTAGTTAACCAATGAAAAAGCCACTTAAAATTATAACACTTAAAAATCCTAATAAAAAATTCCAAAATATTGAAAAATTATGTATCATCAAATGACAGGTTTGCATTCGAATTTTTCTAAGAGTCAAATCTAGGCTTAGGATGGTGGCTAGTGTCCTGCAATTCCAGCTACTTGGGAGGCAGAGCTTAGGAGAGCCACAGCACAAAGGAAGCCCTAGTACAAAGCTATGGAGACCTCAGCTCAAGTAACAAGCCAGTACGGTGTCACATGCAGATAACTCCACCTCTGTGAGAAGAATAGGTACAAGGACTATGCTTCAAAAGAACAGTCCCAGGCAAAAATGTAACACGTTACCTAAAATGACTAAAAGCTAAAAGGGATGGGTTGGCTCAAGAGTAAGTGCTTGTCTTATAAGTGCAAGGCCTTGAGTTCAAACTCCAATACCAAACAAACTCTAGAAACCAAACCAAACCAACCCACAACCCACTATGTATATTTAACCAATGTATTATACTTTTTAAATTAAAGATATAGCTCAGGGCTGGGAAGGTGGCTCAGTGTTAGAGCGCTTGCCTTGCATGCCTGAGGCCCTGGGTTCAATTCCTCAGCACCACATAAGCACAAAGAAAAAAGCCAGAAGTGGCGCTGTGGCTCAAGTGGTAGAGCGCTAGCCTTGAGCTGAAGAGCTGAGGGACAGCGCCCAGGCCCAGAGTTCAGGCCCCACGACCAGACCCCAAATAAAAAAAAATAAAATAAAATAAAGATATAGCTCACTGAAATTTTCTATAAAGTGGACTGCTTGCTTGATTAAACAGTGAAGATGGGTCCAGGCAGGGTAGTTCAAACTCTTAATCCTAGCTACCTAGGAAGTGATCAAGAATCTTGGTTCAAACCCAGTCAGGGCATGAAAGTTCTTGAAACTCCATCTTGACCAATGGCTGGTAGGATGACATGCGCCTTATAACCCCAGCTGTGTGAGAGGCCGGGGTAGGAGGATTGCTTTAGCCCAAAAGTCAATAAGAGCCTGGGCAAGACCTCATCACAAAAAAAAAAAAAAAAAAAAAAGGCACCAGTGGCTCACCAGTGGTTGCCAGCACAGCTCAAGTGTTAAGAGTGCCAGCTGCAAGCAAGTAAGCAGATCAGGTGAAGCGCCTATAAAACTAACTGATGGTAATAAAAATATGGGGGAAAGAAACTATGAAACAAAAAACTTTTTCTCTTATTGCTTCCTCAAAATTATGTTTTCTTTTCTGAAGAACTGCAATAATCTAATTTTTTCCTATTTTAAAGTAAAAGGACGGCAAATACATACTCAGATACTACATCAACTCCCATCTTTGTCATGTAGTATGTTCTTTTATATTGTCTAAATTCAGTTTCAAATAGATCATCATCTTCAGTTTCATCTTCTAAATTATCTGTGAAAAAAGCCAGAAACAGCGACTGACAATTATGAATATCTTATTTTTTATCAAATGCTCTGAAATACGTGCCTATCAAAGTAGATGCTTATAAGCTATTAGAGAAATCTGTCCAATCAATGCTATTGAATTAGTATAATAAAGAGAAGGTAAAACAATTCTGTCAACATAATAACATATTAAAATACATAGTTTGCACTCACCCTTAGAAGCTACCACTTCACCTTCATTTTTGTCTAAAGCAGCCCAACACAGAGAATTTTCCTGGCCCTATAAGAATTATCATCACAAAATGAATAGTAATAGAGAAAAGAATCTTAAGGGTTTCCTGCTCAGGCTGGCTTTCAACTGCAATCCTCAGAACTCAACCTCCTGAGTAACTAGGATTACTCCTGTGAGCAACTGGTGCGGCTCTTGAGAGCTTCTTAAGAAATGTTCTGCAGAGCACTAATAACTTCTAACCAACCTATCATTAAGCAAATAATGTTTACTAAATTTTACTGTGTATAATTTTATATATAAATTATCTCTAGAGAAAAAGAACACTGGAGTAATGTCTCAAAATATTAAAAGATATAAGTATCTGAATTAAAAAAAACCCTTTGATGTATTGTTTTTCAAAATTACGTATTTGAAAATAACTGACTTCTTCAGGGACTATAATTCTAGCTACTCAGGAATCTGATACCTGAGGAATAGGGTTCAAAGCCAGCCAAGGCAGACCAGCTAGAGTCAGAAATGGAGGGATGGCTTAAGTGGTAGAGCACCAGTGTTGAACAAGAGTAGGAGGTCCTGAGCTCAAGCCCAAGTATTGGCATGTGTGCATACACTAAAGAATAAAATGAAGCAATTTCAAAAACCATAAAAGAGAATTGAAACAAGGAATATCATTGCACCTTAAGAGCTAAAAAATTGAAAGGACATCTAAAAAAAATAGATACCTTTAATTTTTTCTTTTCCTTGTAGTTTTTGGCTTCTTCTGCTGCAATGCCTGCTGCTTCATTGAGGTACTTGTTACCAACTTTGCTTTCGAACCACTTCAGGTCCACAAAAACTTCACTGAAGTGTTCTCGATCAAACTGTAGAAAAATATTTAAAGTCATTTTAAAACGATTCATGTATGTATAGAGGAATCTAAGCCAAGCTTTTAACACTGGTTATTTTATGAGGCACAGGAAACTGAATAATGTTACTGTTTTATAGACATGGTGATTTCATTTTTTACTCTGAAAATTTATGCTGAAAGCAAATAAAAAGGAAATCAATTTAGAGGAACTGATTGATACACAATGGGCAATTGGAATACAGTTAAAACACACTTTTCTTCTGGTATTATATAATTGCTTACTAACCATTTGTAGCTGTTCTGGGACAGGAAAAAACTTACAGTTACTTACGTCTGATAGTTTCACTAAGTATTTCTCAAACCGAGGTAAGTTGAGATGCCCATTTTCATTAATGTAACCTAAAAGAAATGAAATCTACATTTGTACACAAACTGATGTTAGTTTTTTGTAAGTAATTCCACAAGATTCTTTCCATAAATAGTTGAACGTTAACATTCTACTAATGAAGACCCACTTGGGGCTGGGCTATAATTCTACAGCCCAGCTATAGGGCTTTACGTTTCTGTACTAAACGATATAGAAGGACTGAAGAAGAATATAGAAAACCCAACATTCACATCATAATCCCACCACATTTCCAACATTTGGTAACAATTACTAAGTAGGGCCTGGAATCCATCCAGATAATTCCATTTCATTTGTTAACTTAAGGAAAGGAGGAGTTGGGTGTGGGTGTGCAGCTCTTGATGGCAGAGGTAAGATGAGTAAGAACTCCAGGCAAGTCAGGGCTACACAGTGAAATCCCATTTCAAACAAAACAAGACGGTAAAGTTTTGCTACTTCCGTTGTCTGTGTTACTCAGTGCCACTATTGCTGTCAATTTTCCATTTTAACTGAGAACATTTTTCTTCCTAATAAATGCTCTGATGTATATTCGTTCAGAACAACTGAATTTCTACTATTAAATATGAAGGGAGTGCAGTGAAACCAGGAGTTCTGCTGGCCTACTTAGGGAATTAAAGACAGATTAACTGTCAGTTAGTAAGGTTGCTTAACTGCAGTCACTGTCTTTCTTGGGTCAGCACTGAATAACAACTTCTGTGCTTAGCACCTTAGACTAAAAGAAACCCCAGTGTTCTAGCAGTGTAGGCAAAAATCTAATGAAGGGACATTTCTAGGGTAAGTTGGTATTAAGCTAAAGGAGGCTCAAGTGTATATAAAATTTTCTTACCTCCAAGTTCTGGCAGAATGGTGATGTATGTTCCATAAAGAAGAGGGAGTGCATCATGATTAATATGTAAATGAGGTAGATGAGGGATAAAATCATTGCCAACCAGAAATCCCATCAAAATCCAATCATCTATAATTCTTTCAATATCATATTTAAATGTGATCTTTTCCTGTGGGCAAATGAAGAGCGAAATAAAATTCAGTGGAAATTTGTGCACACAAAGCTTTGGCCCATGGCTATGTTAATACTTACTTTTAATACTGAAAACTCATAGTCAATATATTCTCTCATCAAAGACAAGTGTAGGAGGTGAAATGTGGTTTCTTCTGGTGCACATACCCTGTAATGAGTAAGATGATCAAAAAGCAGACAGTATTTGGAAAGCCCACTTTTTAAAATGCAGTAGAGCTTAAATTAAAATGATCATTATTAGAAAAAAAATACAGTTAAAATGATCATTATTAGATACTTAAATCTTACAATTGAAGTATGTAATTTATGAGTTGCAGGATAATACAAGGATAAAACGCAATCACAGCAGATGAAATACGGTGAAAGTTGAAAGCAACTGGTTTCCATTATGCCATTTTGTGGAAGGACTGTCAGAATTCAGAAGTCTTCAATAACAAAAAATACATGTAAGAAGGCAGTGTGGGCCAGGGCTCACTTAAGGCAACTCAGAATGCACACAGAATGGAAACACATTTATTTTGGTTGGTTGGTTGGTTGTAGGGCTTGAACTCAGGGCCTGGGCACTGTCCTTGACCTTTTGTGCTTAAGACTAGTACTCTACCACTTTGATTCACAGCATCCCTTCCAGTTTTCTGGTAGCTAATTGAATTTAAGAGTTTTATAGACTTTCCTGCCTGGGCTGGCTTTGAACTGCAATCCTCAGATTTCAGCCTCCTGAATAGTTAGGATTATAGGCATGAGACATCAGCACACAGCTGGTATTATATAATTTTATTTCTATAGCAATACAGTCCAGGGCCATAACATGAGGCAATTATACTTTTCTCTTAACTGGGTTGGTATATGCTATTGGCCTATCTTCCAAGGTTAATTATAGTAAGTAATATCAAGGGAGAAAGGTGGAGGAAAATTTCCACGTACCAATTTGCAGAAAAAGTATTTGATTATATTCATACTCTCATGATATACATCCATCAAATAAGAACAGAAGGTAATTTCCTTAGTATGTTAACAGGCATTTTGAAAACCCTTACTTAATACCATGAATTGAAAGTCAGGGCTTCAGTTCAGTTCTTTCTTTCCACCTGTGTGCTGTAATATTTACCTTTGTGTTTTCTTGCCACCAAATCGAACCTCTTCTCGTAAGAGAGAGAAGTGTGCTTCATGACTTGTTAATCCAAGCATGATCTGTTGAAAAAGGATTAGAAAATATTTTTGTTCTGCTGTTTTTTTTTTTGTTTTGTTGTTTTTGTCAGTCATGGGGCTTCAACTCTGGGCCTGGGCGCTGTCCCTCAGCTCTTCAGCTCAGGGCAAGCGCTCTACCACTTGAGCCACAGGACCACTTCCAGTTTTCTGGTGGTTTATTGGAGATAAGAGTCTCACGGACTTTCCTGCCCAGGCTGGCTTTGAACCGAGATTCTCAGATCTCAGCCTCCTGAGTAGCTAGGATTATAGGCATGAGCCACTGGCGCCTAACAGATGAAGGTAGAGGACAGGGACATTATACTACCTTACCTGTTTTTATTTAGCTTAAAAACTTCCACAAGAGAAGTCAAAGGATTTGGGGCATAGAGTTGTCAGATCAAAGAGCTTTAAAATTCAGGGGCCTTAGGATAAAGAAAGGCCTCTTCCAAGGATCTTGGCAAGTAACTCCTCCTCCTCCACACACAGTGCAGACACAGCACTAGGACAATCAGGTCTGTACACTAAGTAGAGACCAGTTCATCATAAACAGTGACCAAAAGAAAGTTAAATCTCCCCAATTGTTCCAGAACTTTAGTAATAGCGCGTGGCTCCACGTGATCTCCAGGGGTCTGCGGCTGATTGGCTGGCAGGCCTCAGGTGAGGGCGGGTGGGCAGCAGGTTAAGCTGTTGCTCAAGCGGAGCAGATAGTCTTCCCATTGCGCAGACCATGGGTGCTCAACTGAGCGGAGGCCAGGGCGCCACCAGGCAGGCGCGGCCCCGCCCTCTCCCCCAGCCTGAGCCTGGCCGGTGGGGTCCGCCAGAGGACATGCGCTTCCTCATGGGCTGCACCTCCTGGCCCCGGAGGACGTGAGCTGCCTGCCTACCCACCCTCGCCATCCTCCAGCCTGGCAGGGTCCTTGTCTCCTCCCTGTCAATGCTGGCGCCGCCGCCGGAAGACAGACAATTCAGAGAGGTCTTGGGGACTGGAAGTTCCCACAGAGCTGCCTCAGGTTTACCATCTCCATCCAAACTGGACCAACCCTGAACTTCACTGCTACACGCCGCTCTCTGCACGTCCTATACAGAGCCAGATCCAGGCCAGGCTTTCTGGGAAGCTCCTCACTGCTAGAACTGAGCTCCTGCCTGCCTGCCGCCCAGGTCCTGATGCCACGTGCACTGACTTAGAGACGTCTTTACTTAACGCGGCCGCTCACCATGGGAGGATGTCTGAGTGGTATGGCAGATGATGCATCTGGGGCAACTCCAAGGTACCCCGAAGCCCCCTCTTCCCGCTGAATTAAACCTACGCTTAGAACCTGTTCTGGGAAATGACACACTGTGTACTTTTGTTTTATTTAGAAATAATTTAAAAAAATTATACAAAGGTTGATCAGTTTAAAATGTGACCAACACAGAAATGTGCTGTTCTCCAGGCCGAGGGGGCCTGGCTCTAGAGCCCTCCAGTGCTCTGCCCCTCTCTGACTGCTCTGACCTGGGGAGATGGACAAATGGATGACGACAGGTAGGAGAGTCCATGATTGGAAGCTGCTAGGCTGAGCCCGCTCTGGGCCTGCTCCTACATCCCTCACATCTGCAGCTTGGGCTGCCTGCCTCCATCTCCTGCTCTTTCTCAGCTGGCCTTGTACCGGGAAGCCAATGGGGGAGCCTGGGGAACCTAGAGCTTTCAAAAAGTACCAACCTGAGGAGTGGAGAGGGACCAGGAAGGGGCAGGGAGAGAGACCAGGAAGAGATGGATAGAGGAGACACTGATCTAGAGAGGCCACAGATGGGACATAAGACCTAGCCAGCCCACTGGATGGTTCAAGCAGGTAATAACCTCTCTGTGGTTCATCTCAGAGCATGATAAAAGTTACCCTTGGCTTCCAAGGGGCTACATGACTTCCATGTGAGTGGACAGGTGTGAGCTAATAAAGTGCTTTGCAAAGAAATAAAAAAAGAAAGAACTTTAGTAACAGCAAAAAAAAAAAAAAAGTAGCAATCAATATTTCTTTGTTAGTATAGCCAGTTAGCTTACTGCATAAAAACTAGGTCTCTCAGATATTTACTTACAATGGTACAACTATAATAACTATAAAAATTACACTTACCAAGTCAGCATCTAAACCATAAAGACAGTGTCTGGTGTTTGGATCATGATCTGGTTTTGCTTTCTCGGATCTGATAAATTCCATGATTTTATGCTCTCCTTCTCCTGGAGTCTAAATTCAATGTTTAAAAATGTTGTAATATGCTATGCTTCAGGATATTAAATAAAGTTTTTAACATTTTTTAAGAAAAAAAGATAATAACCTCATGGCCTGAGAAATAGATGGTAACTCCTTGCCATGACTTGTCTGTGGAAATTTTCATATTTACAAAATACTTCAGATGTTCATGCAACCTGGCCATGAATTCAGTCCCTATAAATAAAGTTTCAAAGGTTAATCTGATAAAAACATAAAAACAGTTCCTAGAGACAACACAGGAAATAATTAGATATAGGATCTCCTACAGACAACACAGGAAATAACTAGATATAGGATCTTCTAAGACGGTCAAAAGCTCTTGTTTATCCTTGAAAGCAAGTTTTTTACGCAGTATGATGTCCCAGCAAATAAAACTATTTTAGATGTCATTAGTCATCTTAAATGAAGCTCGGGTGACAAAGGGAAAGTTTTACCACAATCTAAGGACTGAGTTTCAAGTACTTTTCTTTTTGGTGGACATGGGGCTTGAACTGGGAACCTGGGCGTTATTCTCTGAGCTCTTCTGCTCAAGTAGCACTCTACCACTTGAGCCAGAGTGCTACTTCCCTCAAGTAGTTTTATAGAAAGGCAGAGTTTGAAATTTAATAACCTCAACTTTCTACTTCTTTTGCTGGACCTGAGAGTATTTTTGTAAGGCATGGAGTTTTAAGTAGATTACCAATAATAGCTATTATTATTGATCTGTAAGTGGTATTGACCTGGAAACTTAACCTAAAATGATGTTTAGAAAAACCCAGATGAAGCTGGGTGCCAGTGGCAAACGCCTATAATCATAGCTACTCAGGAGGCTGAGATCTGAGGATCATATTTCAAAGCTAGCCCGGGCAGGAATGAGACTCTTATCTGCAATGAATCACCAGAAAACTGGAAGTGGTGTTGTGGCTCCAGTGGTAGAGTGCTCGCCTAGAGCTGAAGAGCTGAGGGATAACACCCAGGTCCAGAGTTCAAGCCCCACAAATGACAAAAAACAAACCAAAACCCAAAACAAAACCAAAAAACTCAGATGAATATTAGTCAGACAATAATATAATATTATACTCTAATCAGAATAAAAGTAGTTATTCAATTGAGCAATATGTTGAGTATAAGATACTCAAAGAAGAAAATCACTAACCCTAGTAAAGAGGAAGTTAGATTTTTTTTTTCCAAAGTAAAGGACTATAGTCATGTTTTAGAAGCTCAAAAGAGTATAGAGGGCTGGGAAGGTGGATCAGTGGTAGAGCGCTTGCCTTGCATGCCCGAGGCCCTGGGTTCGATTCCTCAGCACCACATAAGCAAAAAGAAAAAAGCCGGAAATGGTGCTGTGGCTCAAGTGGTAGAGCGCTAGCCTTCAGCTGAAGAGCTGAGGGATAGCGCCCAGGCCCAGAGTTCAGGCCCCATGACCGGACCCCAAAAAAAAAATTAAAAAAAAAAGAGTATAGAACATATTCCTGTATATGAAACTAAGTTAAACATATTATTGATAAATCTGTTTCCTTTACATTCACAGAAATCTTAGCTGCCTTTGAGTACCAAGGTCTGTGGAGAATGGGTTTCTTTCTTTCTTTGTTTTTTTTTTTGTTGTTGTTGGTCATTGGACTGAACTCAGGGATTGGGAGCTGTCCCTGAGCTCCTTTTGCTGAAGGCTAGCACTCTACCAGTTTTCTGATGGTTAGTTGGAGATAAGACTTTTACTGCTTTTCCTACCCAGGCTGGCTTGGAACTGAGATCCTCAGATCTCAGTCTCCAGAGCTAGGATTATAGGTATGAACCTATAGGCTTTGGTTTGTAATCTCGAAGCCATGGGCGGCTACGTGAACTTGGTAATTCACAAACTAAGGCTGCTTTATTTCAATAGCTGGAGGTACTGGAAGTGGAAGCCCTGTTGACTCCTTCTAGGCCCAGGATTCCGTGTACCTGGGAGAGTCCTAGCTACACGTGGGCATCCTGCAGGACCACTTCCGACCGATGTGACCACAACATTTCATGAGCAGACAGAGTAGGGAAAGTAACAAATGAGACCCTACACTTTTTGAAAAAAGTGAAGTTGTAACGGGTATTTTAATGGCTAGAACTTTCCCCCCAGTCAATTTACCTGGTGTAATGCAGTTGGAATCAAACCTGGCCTCCGTAGGAAGAGTTTCTCCCTTTTCGATGGCCTTTTTTATTTTGTCTTCTGCCTCCTTGGCTGACCTTAAAAGAGAAAAAAATTCTTAAACCTTCTGAAAAAAAAAAAGGAATAATTTTTACTTAAACTAGTTAATAACCAGTATCTACACAGATGCTTTTGTAACTAATAATTCATCAACTTTAAAACTATAAACATATGAAGTAATTAGAATTGATAAAGACTGAATTTAAGAATTCCTTGCTTTTATCTAAATAATTGAGTTTTTCCTACAAGGACTATAGAAGTTGGACATTAAAAAGTAAAAACCACACAGAACATTATAAACATTTCTGAAATACCTATTATCACACATGCTCAGCAATTTTTCTAGAAACAAGGTAAAACACACTGTATAGTTTTATATGCTCATTACATATGCTATATTTAACAATATTTAATAACCTTAAATAGTAGTTTTATCATCGTAAATGTCAGTGATCTATCTATAAGATTATATATATAATAATAATTGTAAAATTGTTACAATTTCTCTGCTTCTTTTTTTCTGCCAGTCCTGGGGCTTGAACTCAGGGCCTGGGCACTGTCTCTGAGCTTCTTTTGCTCAAGGCTAGCACTCTATCACTTGAGCCACAGTGCCACTTCGGCTTTTTCTGTTTATGTGGTACTGAGGAATGGAACCCAAAGCTTCATGCATGCTAGGCAAGTACTCTACCACTAAGCCACATTCCCAGCCCTGTGTGCTTCTTAAAAACATTTAAATGAACGTCTAGGCACTGGTGGCTCATGAGTAGAGTTCTAGTTACTCAGGAAGCTGAGATCTAAGGATCATGGTTCAACACCATCCTGGGCAGGAAAGTCCATGAGACACCTAACTCCAATTAACTTCCAGAAAACTGGAAGTGGCGCCGTGGATAGAAGTGTTAGAACACTAGTGTTGAATGAAAAAGCTAAGATGTAGTACCCAGTTACTGAGTTCAAGCCCATGACTGAAAGAAAAAAATAAAGCTTAATAATATAAATAACAACCGTTGCCAAAACAATCATATTTTTAAGGCACAGGATTTACTAGAAAGAACATGGGCTTCGGAGTCTCAGAGGATGGACGGAAATGCAATTTGTGCCTGACTCCTGAAACCACATCAGAATGTCAGGTCAAGAAGCTCAACTTTGTGGTTTCTACTGTCTTGCTACTAGCTTATTCTACTAGGCCTGAACCTATTTTTGCAATGAACAAACTCTTCTTTGTGTTTAACCTCTTGAAATCTCTGCAATCAATACCACAGACTTGGATGATATCAACTCACTGGGAATCTCCATTATTATGTATTCATCCATCTTTTTTTCTCCTTGACTGAACAACTATATGACAAAGTTTTGGAATATAACCATGCAAATTATCAAAGAGAAGTTTGAAAAAGCTGAACAGAGTAACTTTATACAAAATCTAATGTAAGCTTTGGGAAATGATACCTCATTTGAATTTCTAACTAGTTAAAAGATAGATTGGGCTGGCAATGTGGCTTAGTGGTAGAGTGCTTGCCTAGCATGCATGAAACCTTGGGCTTGATTCCTCAGTACCACATAAACAGAAAATGCTCAAAGTGGCACTGTGGCTCAAGTGGTAGAGTGCTAGCCTTGAGCGAAACAAGCTCAGGGACAGTGCCCAGGCCCTGGGTTCAAGTCTTGGGACTAGCCAAAAAAAAAAAAAAGATATATTGTATTATGCCAATTTCTTTTAAATGTTTTACCTGAAACGCCTCCCACGCTGCTGATTCATTTTTGCTCGTGGAGCCACACCATCAACAGCCATAAAAAATATTTTTCTAGGTTTAATAATTCGAAACAACACTTCCAAGTAGTGGAAAATATCAGTAAAGATTTTATCATCTGAAATCCTGAAGTGAACATCATCATCATTAGGATGGGAGCACTGATGTATAATTCCGTTCATATCCAGGTACAAGTTGTCAAATTCTGGAATCTTTAAAAACAAAGAAACACACTCAGATCACATACTATAACACCATAGCATTTGGGAAAGTGATTGTTAAAAGACAAGAATACAGGGTGTATGGATTCTTATTATACAAAAACTTGAGTAACTACCGTTGAGTAAAGAGTGTAGAGAGAAAGCCAGGTGCCAGTGATTCACACCTGTAATCCTAGCTACTCAGTAAGCTGAGATCAGAGGATCATGTTTGAAGCCAGCCCAGGCAGGAAAGTCAGTGAGACTCTTATCTACAATAAACTACTCAGAAAAAGCTAGAAGAGTGGCTCAAGTTTAAGCCCCACACTCTCTAAAACAAAACAAAAAAAAAGATTGTAGATAAAAACAAATAGGAGGAACTGGTACATATGGAGACCTATTATAAAGTGCATCAATGGGTATGTTTTGGTCCATATCCAATTATCTGCCCCATTCTTCCAGGGTCAATTTTCCTCAATGATTTAAGAGAAATGGAAGAACAAATAGTTTTATATAGTCAAATATGTATGGAAATTAAGTACAGAAGACAATCAGTGAAAGAAGAGGATGAAGTACCTACTTATCAGGAAACAAAATTGCAAGGGGCTGGCTGGCCATGGTGGTGCTTACGGCCAAGGTATGTGGGAAGCTGAGGTAGGAGGACTCGAGGCCAGCTCAGGCAATACAGAGAGGCCCTGTCTTGAAAGAAAACAAATAGGAAGGGCTGGGAAGGGGACTTAGTGGTAGAGTGCTTGCCTAGCATACATGAAGCACATATAAAAAGCCAGAAGTGGTACTGTGGCTCAAGTGGTAGAGTGCTAGCCTTGAACACAGAGAGGCTGAGGGACAGTGCTCAAGCCCTGAATTCAAGCTCCAGGATTGGCAAAAAGAAAAGAAAAGAAAAAAAAATCTCCAACTAACCATCAAAAAGCTGGAACTGAAGGTATAACTCAAATGGTAGAGGGAAAATCACTTCCAGCTATAAGTGGAAAAGCAGAATTAGAGTACAAGACCCTAAATTTGAACCCCCAGTACTGGAAAAAAGAAAAGTATCATAGATAATTGAATTGAAAATTCACTGGACTAAATATTTATGTTTATTCTTTCAATTATAATAGCATTAGAGATAAATATTTAGCACTCCAATTTTAAAGAAGAAAGTCACAGATCTAGAAAAGATTGATACTCAGTAGTTTGAGATGAGAATATAGCTATAACTAACCTGAATATATCGATATTTGAAACATGTATGTCCTTGACTCAGGAACATGTATGTTCTCAGGAATTAATCCTGAGAAACTACCAGAAACAATATGAATGAATAAAGATCAGTATAATAATATCCATGCCAGTCCCGTACAGGACAAAAAAACAGTAATAATCCAAATGCCTAGTAACAGAAAACTGATAGTGCTATTCTTTTTTTTTGTTGTTGGTCGTGGGGTTTGAACTCTGGGCTTGGGCGCTGTCCTTGAGCTCTTCAGCTCAAGGTGAGCGCTCTACCATTTGAGCCACAACGTCACTTCCAGTTTTCTAGTGATTTATTGGAGAGAAGAATCTGACAGACTTTCTTGCCTGGGCTGGCTTTGAACCGCAATCCTCAGATCCCAGCCTTCTGAGTAGCTAGGATTATAGGCATGAGCCACTGGTGCACGGCTTGATAGTGCTATTCTTATACAGTGTAATACGATTCAGCAGTTAGAAATTATACAATTGGTATGAAAATATGAATACATATGATCAGTGACAAAAGCAGGGTACAAAACAGCAAGTTTATGATCCTATTTTCAAAGGTACTTATTTATATGTCTATTTGTACAGAAAATATCTGATGTATACAGAAACAAGGTATTATTAGTAGTCAACTCTGGATGACTAAATTTCAGATTTTTTTTACTTTTCTCTAGACTATATAATTGCATTTATAATCTGAAAAATCCCATTATAATTTTGTTTTAGAAAAGACCAAGCCAGACTTGGTCCCTCATGCTTATAGTTCCAGCTAATTGGTGGTGGAGACTAAGGGACAGTTTGATGCTGGCCTAGGAAAAATAGTGATTGACTCTTCACAACAAATTAAGTCAGGTATAGTGGTATATACTAAGCTCTAAAAAATAACCTAAAGCAAAGAAAAAGCCTGGAAGCATGGCTCAAGTGGCAGTAGCAAGCACTAAGCTTTGAGTTCAATCTGCAATTCAAGCAAATATAAAATTAAAAACAGCTCTCCTAGCTAAGGGTTGGAGACTACACTGATAAAAAACAACACAGATGCTGGACGCTGGTGGCTCACGCCTATAATCCTAGCTACTCAGGAGGTTGAGATCTGAGGATCATGGCTCAAAGCAAGACCATGAGACTCTTACCTCCAATAAAATACTCAGAAAAAAGCTGGAAGAGGCTCAAGTGGTAGAGCACTAGCCTTAAGCAAAAAGAAGCTCAGGGACAGTGCCCAGGTCCTGAGTTCAAGCCCCAGAACTGGCAACAGCAACAACAACAACAACAAACGTGATGCAGGTAAAGCATGGCTCAAGTGTTAAAGCACTAGCCTTGATGGAAAAATGAAGGGAACACCCTTCATTTGAGCTCCCCACAAAACACCAAATACTTAAAAATGGACATTTGAACCTGTATTCCCTGAATTTTGAAAATTCTGGTGTGCCTTCTCTAAGATGCATTTTAAAGCAAACATGGTTAAGATAGCAAATCCGCTATGTCATTTTATCCTAACTTCTTTAAAAGTCCAACAGTACAATATTGCCCATAAGGCCAAAACTGCTATCTATAGAACAGTGTCATAGCATAAGAACAGATACATAGTCCACCTAGGATGTTGATATTAGCATTCTATGCAGTGGGGCTGTGACTAGGAAAAACTCTAAGGAAGAGCTTCTTACAGCATCCTGGGCGATGAAGGAAAAGAACAGTAAGTCCACACTTAACAACTGTAGGTAGCAATCTTTTTGTGACCATTTTTTCAGCTACAAAATGAAAATGCTATGACTACTAATTTTATTCTGATCCTACAGTAAGTATCATAGAAATACTATGTCACGTTTTTCCCTTGGTCGGTGTGGGGCTTGAACTTGGCCTGGGCGCTGTCCCTGGGCTCGTCAGCCCAAGGTGAGCGCTCTACCACTTGAGCCGTGGCGCCACTTTAGGTTTCAGTGGTTAATTGGAGATAAGAGTCTCACAAACTTTTCTGCCCAGGCTGGCTTTGAACCTTGATCCTGAAATCTCAGCCTCCTGAGTAGCGATTATAGGCTAGTGACAGGGCTATTTTTCTTATAACTGTTTTATGGATTCCAATTTCCTTGGAGAATTAAGAAACTGAGTAAGTGTGGTGGTGCCACCATTACCATCACTGTCTCCAAACCCATTCCTTTCCCCCTAGGGAATACCTTGTAAACCACTCAGGCTGATTTAGGCACTGCTATCTTTACTGCCTCAGAGATTTGCTGTGGCCCTTTGTTTCATTTTCATCAAACACTTGTGGAAGACATTACTTTGATAAAACAAGCTTTTAAAAAAAAACTATTTTATTACCCTACAGCAATAGTAAAAGGGGGTTTCATTCTGATAATTCATTAGATGCATATGAAATACACCAAATTTTAAGGCTTATAGTGGAGGGCTTTTTTGTTTGTTTTTTGCTTTGTTTTGTTGGTCATAGGGTCTGAACTCTGGGTCTGGGCACTGTCCCTCAGCTCTTCAGCTCACAGATAGCACCCTACCACTCGAGCCACATTGCCACTCAAGATTACTCCTGTACACTTTGCGCCACAGTCCCACCTCGTCTCGTTCTGGTAGTCAACGGAGATAAGAATCTCACGGATTTTTCCTGCCTGGGCTGACTTTGAACCTCCATCCTCAGATCTCAGCCTCCTAAATAGCTAGGATGACAGGTGTGAGATTACGTGTTACCAAGTCATTACAAACAGCAGTCACGTTTTGATTCACTATATAAAGATTGATATTCAAGTATTTGTTGAAAGACCCAGACAATGCCAAAATTAGTTGTGCTTATTTCTGCAATGAGTATCTTTGTCTTTAATCCTCTGTAGGATTAAGTGCCCCCTACATCTAGCTCAGCCTCTATTTCAAGTAATAAAAGTTGAGTTCGTATTCTGGACTTTTCTTCTGTCTGGCATGGGGCTTGCACTCGGGGCCTGGGCTCTGTCCAGGGCCGGTGGAATGGGGCGGGGAGGTGGCTGTGGTCGGTCGGTGTTCTGGGCCC